AAATTCACACATTAAAGCACTCCTTTCCCAAAGAACTTCTTTTACCGAAGTTGCGTATGTAGAAAGAGCTTTGACGCGCCCCACCAAGGACTGCAGGATTTACGGAAATAAACTTTCTGAGTTGTCTCTTGTCTCTAGCAAACCACATTTCGGGCCATCCGAGAAGAAGTGTGCGTTTTGGTAATTGTGCATATATTTTTCTCGCAATTAGGAAGTAAGCCGGTTTACAACCTGGGATGTCGCGCAACCAAAATTATGACCTTTTTGTTTTAAGCTAGCCTGAGTTTGGCCCACACGTTCTGCAAAACGCTTTACCGAATATAATTTTGAAAAATAGCTAGTGTTTTTCATGTGGATATGTGCCAGAAGTGAAGAATCGCAGAAGAAGAATCTTTCTGCAAGGATCTTAATTTTTTTCTTGGAAGGATAGCTTGCCGCATGAGCAAACATATTTTGCGAACAGCGAAAGTTTATGTTTTGTAGTAAGCAAAATAAAAAATTGAAGTCATAATCGAAAAGAGCCTGCGACTTCTTAATCAAACAAAGACGTTTTCCTATCTTCCATTAAATAGAACTAAACTGAACCAAATAAGTGATTTCAGATGGATGTTACTTGCTTTAGCAATCTTTTGCGGTCGGTCTTTATTGTTGTCGCGTTCATGGTGTTCCTAGATTAATATTATCCCATATTGGATCTGAAGATTGCAAAATTGCCCAGAATATTGAAATGTCTGACTTCTGACTTCACAACCTTCTCTATACTGTGTTTGACAATTTCAGCTGCAACAGCATATACATGCTGTCATTCGTACCATTTTTCAGGTCTCAAAGGACAAACTGTTTTCAATTTTTATATTGACGAAGTGCTTGAGTTTTAATTAGCCAATACCTTCCTGTATTTCTGCCTCATTGATGTGTTTATCTTTATACTTTCCTCATTAAATTGATAATCAATTTATCTCCTTTAACCATAAGAAGGTTAAAAGAACTACGAAATGAACTAATTATTTTGGCTTTTACCAAAATATAAGCATACAAAATCCAACTCATAGGTTTGGACTGCTTTCTTCTGATCCCCCGACTTGGAATTGACAAGTTATTTTGTGAGTGACAATTTGGAGCTTTACCCTGCTCATGAGTTATCAAGATAAATGCGAATTGTATCTATATACAGTAGACCGCAATTGCAATCCACGTACGCATTCAAACATCGTCTTGCTTGCTATGTAGGCGGCTGTAGGCACGTTTAGCTGCCCTACCACACAGGCTGCTAATTATGGACCCCTATGCTAACGGTTGTCGTGTTCTTTAACTGAAAAGTACATTTTCCCAACCCATGTAGTAACACAAAACACATTTCAAGGGCCCACTGCAGCGAATGGGAGAAAACAAGGCAAGTGCCTTTTTGCTAATGCGTTCGAACTTTGCTACAATCAGTTCAGATTCAGTTTTTGGAAATTGACACTCACGCTGCAATCATTGCGAACTGAGGAGTATGTAAGCGTATATAAGTCTAAGTTTCTATGCTAAAAGTATCATCCGCGGTTTCCAGATATACGGTTAAAAACTCCTGAATTCCCCTTCAGTGTCAGGACACTTTTTGTAGATCTACAAACTTGTCTCATTCCACACCCGATCTACGTGGGCTGATAGGATCTTTCGCAATTCCAAAAAGGACCTAACTAAGCGAAGCGCTTGGCGTCGTTTAAGTCATTTCTAGAGATTTCTATATTTGCTAAGCCGCTCTTTCAACTGTCAAAATAACCTATTCAAGGAACCGCTTGAACACTCTACTCATCGATGTGATTCTCCTGTTTAATCTACATCTTCCAAACATCACTTTTGACTATTTCGTCGGTTTCTGTCTCAGCGTTGATCGTTGGAACTGCTACATCCTTCACTTACTTCGCTCAAATACAAAAAGGTATTTTGGTCATTTTTAGGAGCAGTTCCACCAACGTTTTTTTTAATTAAAACAACAGTCGTATTTAATATCTGTAATAAAAGTAAGCAAAAATATTTCTCGCCCACCCCATCCCTTTTAAGTTCTCTTAATTTTGTGTGTTGGTTCATGCTTCTCCCTTAATTATTTCCTCTTATAATTCTAAGAAAAAGACGGCTCGATCGCTGGGACAATAATTTTATTTGCCTGACATTTCCAAATCCGTCGCTGGTACTGCTCTCTGACTATGTCTCTGATGACGAATCCGTGACGGATCTCGAAAGGTCAGGGGAATTAGAGTATTGTTCCAGCGATCGAGCCGTCTTCTTCCCAATTACTTCATGCAATTAACATGCTCGCTTGCATTGACAATGTTATACTTCTCTTGAACTAACGGCTTGGTTTTCGTCCTCCTTACAGTGATTATACCGGCTATTATGCAGACAGCTGCTGCCTACCTCTGGGTGGGCCAGTATCAACGACAAATGCTGTTGGATAATCAGGGCTCTAAAAGACATGCCGGTGTATCACGGAACAGTGTGCCTACCTCGATGAGCAAACGCGGCGTCACCGAAATGACCCGGACCCTCTTCCTCTACCGTCTCATGGCATGTACAGCCTCCCTCCTCGTGCTAGTCTTCTCCACGTTGCCACAGCTGGTGCTAGTGGTAGCAAAAACTCCCGAAGACAACAGCATTGATCGCCTGTGGGGCTGGTGTCACTCCCTGGTCTACTTTGACCACGCCACTCGATGTTTTGCAACCTACCTCATCGTCGTGCCCTTTGCCATCTTCTTCTGGGACTTCTTCTTCTCCGAGGTCGTGCCCATGCGCCACTTGGTGGTCAAGCAGATCTTTCGAATGATTGTAATCTCCACCATTCCCATTGCCCTCTTTTCCCTGGTCGCAGCCATCCCTCTGCTGATTATACGCTACGTCAAGGGGTTTGATGGAACGGATGTTGTTTGTTATCCCCTGCCAGAAGGAACAAGCTACTTTCTGGCCTTTGATTTTGCTGTCACACGGGTTCTGCCAGCTGTCATTATTGTGAGTGTTGGGTTGGCATTCCTGCTCTGGCTACCACGCAGGGATTACGGTGTCCTCTACGAGCCAATGACATTTCTCCTGCTGCTTGTACCGGTGGTGCTAATGGAGTCGACCGTCTACGTTTGCTATCGTCTGGGCAAAATCCATGTGCTCATTAATAAACACTTTGCCAACATTCTTCACATTTCCTACGCCATCTACCACATGTCCTTCAGCAGTACCTTCGTTCTGGCCACGCTGCGGGCAGTAGTCGCTGAAATCCGAGAAGAGCGTCGACGTCGCGCGCAGCTACTCCTTGGTGAATATCCAAAGAGCGAAGATCGACAGAAAAAACGTCGCAATA